CAGTGCTACTGCCGTCCCATGTGGTGCCTGGCCTGCATGGGTAGGTGGTTTGCCAGCCGCCAGGACCCGCAGCGCCCCGAGACCTGGCTGGCCAGCTGTGTACCCTGCCCCACCTGCCGTGCACGCTTCTGCATCCTGGATGTGTGCACCATCCGCTGACGCTCCGTGGCCAGCCCGGCCAACGGGATCCCTGCCCCAGACTGCCCTTGGGTTTCTGCACCCAGGCGCACCCTGTGGGGCCGGGGTTGCCAGGGAACCCAGGGGCAGAAGCAGTTTGTTCTAGAAAGGAAGTTGTCTGTTGAAGTTCTTCCGGGAACCTGGCCAGCGGGGTCCTCTCTCCCCTGCCTGGAGCAGGGTGGGGGACTGTCCACTGCACAGCAGTCCCCAGCTCCTGGGGAAACTGCGGGCATCTGCCTCTGAACAGCCTTCACCAGCCACCTGCCTTAATTTGAAGGGACACAGCCTGCTTCTTAGTTCCCTGGAGGACGCACGTCATTTGTGCCATGGCTGCCCTCCACCTTGCCCCTGAGCTAGCTGTAGGATGGCTCAGTGCCTCCCTGTGACTCCAGGAGGGGCACTCAGCCTGCTTTTTACACCCACTCCAATTCTGCGGGGAGTCAGCCTGGCCCAGAGTGCCGGCTGGTCCCGGCCTTGCCTTCCCCGCCCCTGAGCTGAGGGGGTGCCCAGAGACCCCTGGGAAGTGCCTAGAGGAGAAGGGTGAGCACATGGGGAGCGGAGAGGGGGGTCCCAGGATCAGTGATCAGCAGGTGAAAGCAGCTGGCCCTGCAGGACACCCCTGGGTCTGCCTGTGGACACCCCAAGCCCTCAGCGGGCTGTCCTCCCCTGGAGCCAGGAAGGCTTGGCTGCTTCGGCCACCAGAGGGCGGTGGTCCTGTCCCAGGGAGGGGCTCACTTTCTGTCCTAGGTGTCTTCTGCTGCCCCGTCGAGTCCAGGGAAGGCCGAGGCTCGGCTTCTGGGCCCCAAGGCCGTCAAGCCAAAGACCAGAGCTCTCCTGACACCCTCAGCCCCACACCTGGAAAAAAATAACTTTTGGGGAGAGCTCCTGCAGGGCCGCCCAGTTCAGAAGGACCCGTGCCAAGGGTCGGGCTGCTGAGGGCCATGTGCCCACTTCCTGCTGGGGCCGGTGGGGTGGGGAGGGGCCAGCCTCCGAGAGGTGGCCGGTGGGACCTCTCCTCACTTCAGAGCCGGCCCGTTGTGGCCCTCAGCATTTGCTGCCAGCACTCTGGGTCACACCAGCGCCGAGTGCCTGGCTCAGGGAGCAGAGGCCCAGCGCCAAGGGCCGGGCAGTGAGGAGGTGACAGGCAGGGCCAGAGTCACCTGTCTCAAGACGCGGCGGCTCCGGGCGGGGCAGTGTGGGGACGTTGTCACCCAACAGAAGTGACTGCATTTCATAAGGATGGGGCTGTCGTTGCCCCACACTGCAGGTCAATAAAACGGTCATCTGAAGTTGGCAGCTGTTGCTAATCGAGTGGTTTGTTTTGTTGGACTCAGCCTTTATGACAGTTGGGGAGACGTGCCGGGGCGACGGGCGGGAAGCCCCAGGCAGGCGGCCTGTTCCCAGCAGAACCTGGAGCTGGACTCGGGCTCCCCAGGAGGCAAGCAGTGCAGGAATCCTCCCCTCCCTCAGCTGCCCTCCGAAGCCCCTTCCCCCAGGGAGAGGCGGGCGAACCTGGTGGGGCCAGGCCATGGGAAGGGATGGGGCCCTACCCAACTCCTTCCCTCCGCCGGAGGCGATGTGGGTGCTTCTTCATGGCCCGAAGGTGGTTACCTCCAGCCCTGCCTCAGGAGGGGTGGGGGCAGGGGGCTGCCCTGCAAACCTCGAAGTGGACCACCACCCATCACGGGGCTGAGCCCCCGGCAGCCAGGCAGCAAGTCCTACCCCCCAGCCCTCAAACCACAGCACTGCCGGGTTCCCATGGTGCCCAGGCCCGCACCCCAGCCCCCCAGTGTTTGCTGTGGCAGCTTCCCCTGCCCTGCGCTCCAACCCCAGAGTTTGGAGGAAGTAGCCCAGCCAGCCTGGGATTCCAGTCCTTTGAGTTCTCCCTCCACCCCGACAAAGGGGTGCTCGCTTCACTCTGCTCTCCTCACCCCCCACCCCCCAGCAGCCTGCTCTAACTCAGGGCTGCACAGCCACTGTGGTTACCTGCCCAGGGGTCCACACCCACCTCTGCTCCAGCACAAACTGACGCCTCACCCTGTCTGAGCCCAGCCTTACCCCCCTCCACTCCTGGCTGGTAGTGATTCCACGGCGACCACGCAGCACTCCGTGTGTCTGGTTTGTTAGCGGAGGAACAGACTGTCGATCAGCATCAAATGGGAAGAGCAGGAAAACTCAGGAGACAAGCTCAGCTCTAGGAGGCGGGGGTGGGGCGGGGATCAGAGCAGGATATTGTCACCCCCTCCTCTGTCAGTGCCAGCAGATGACCCCCTGGATCGGAGGCACTCGGCATGGGGTAGGAGTGGCCAGTGTCTTGTTCTGCTGTCCCAGAGGTGGCCTGCCTTGGAGCTGACTCAGGAGCCTCCATCAGGAACCCATGATGCCCCTCAAGGCCTTCCAATGTCCTAGGTTTCAGGATCTTCGGGACGCGCACGGGCAAGTCCGTGTGCGTGAACAGGCTCTGCGCTCCATGTACCCCGCTCAGTCAAACATACTGCTCCCGTGCACGCAAGTGCTTACTCCAAGCCAAACCGTGTTTGAACTTTAAACTCAGCCATCCAACTGCCCTCGTCTCTGGGGGCCTTACAGGAAGAGCTCCACTCAAAGCTGGCTGCCGAGGGCCTCTGCTGGGCCCGTGCAGTTCAAGGCAGCGAGGTCAGTGGAGAAACCAACTCAAGGGGCAAGATCTGACCTCCTCGGGCTTCTGCAGAGAGAAGAGCCCGCTCCTCTCCAGCGTGAGGCTAGGCACCACAGGGTCAGATAGGCCTCTAGCCTCTGCTGACACCAGCTGTTGCCCAACTCTAATGGGGTTAGGTTGGGTGGTCTAGAGAAACAGCCCAGTGACACTTGTCGGCAAGAGATGGGTATCAAGCAACGGCTCACGGTGGTAGACCCAGTCTGACTCAAATCAGGCTCCTCCACTCGACTCGTGGAAGCGGGTGAGTGGGACAGCGGGGAGCACAGGCTGGTGGATGCAGCAGCAAAAAGTGAATCAGAAGTCGGCCGAATAAATCCCCTGGAGGTACCCTCCTGTTGGCTCCTGGATCCGTAGGAGATGGATGAACCAGATAGGACGTCTTTGTGCCTCCGGCACAAGGCAAAGAGACCAAAGAGATGTGACTCTGTTCAAGTCTCTCAAACCAAGCAGGCGTCATCAGGCTGTGATACAATCGACAGGTTGAGCCCTGCTGCTACCCTGACCCAGGAGGGTCTAGTGGACCTCATCCCCCAACTCTCACACGATTTTTCTGCTGGGTTCAATCCTTTGTTGTAGTGGTCACACACAATCCACAGACACGACTCAGGGCGAAAGGGGGTTTCCTAGGGACGTGAACAGGCGGCCACAAGCCAGGGTGAGAAAACATTAAGGAGACAGTCTTCAGTACACAGTGGCACATTTCCTCAACCAGCAGCCAAGTCTCTTTCTCTGGGCTTCAGCCACGCGGTCCCTTGACTTCTGTTTGATTCCCTGGGCTGGAAGCCTGGCCGAGGCGTTCCCCCACAGTCTCAGGGTCTCTGGTCTCCGTGCGGTGGCTCCTTTGGTCATGATCTGGCAAAGCTTCTCCTGCCTCTTCCTCCGCAGGCAGGGATCTCAAATATACTGATTTGGTGGCTCCTCATCCTCAATGGCCCCAGGAATTCTGCTTCCGCTTCTGAGGCGGCTCTCATACAACACGGGGACGGCCACCGAAACTTAGAGGCAAGGATGGCAAGACTCTTACATACTCCAGACATGTTGTCATGAGAAGCCAGTCCCTGGAGGGCACCACGCTTGGTAAAGAGGGGCGGTGAAAAAGGGGAAGGCCCTCAATGGGATGGATGGACAGGTGGCTGCAACAACGGGCTCAGACATAGGAACCGTGGTGAGGGCAGCGCAGGGCCGGGCAGTGTTTCTTTCTGTCGTGCATGGGGTCGTTGTGGGTCGGAATCAACTCAGCCTTAGCACAACAATATGGTTCTTTTTCTTAGGTTGGCTTTTCTAGCTGTAGTCTTTATAGCTTCCATAAAATGCCCCCTACCCCACCCCTGCGATGGTTTTGAGTACGAGAGGATGGGGGAAGATGCTGACAAGATTATATGAGTCAGCTGTGAGTGGTGGTGACCAGAGCTCAGTGCTTGTAAACACGTGGAGTTCTTAGGGGAGGGATTGGGCAATGGAGCACCTGCTAGGCATAAAGGGCGAGTGACCTTTGCAACAGAAGGGGAACCGCACCGTCATCAGGGAAGAGGAGCCCGGGCTGGGGCGTGTGTCCTTGGGACCCTGAGATCCAGGAACAGAAACCACTGACACCAGAGACGTGGCAACCCAGCAGCAGCACCACGGGTCAGAGGGGTGGGCTTCCTGGCCCGTAGAGGAGGACGGCTGACAGCTGAGTGCCTTCTGGCAGGAGGCTCACATGCAGAGTGGGGTGCCTCACGGTACTTAACTGGGGAGCTCAAACTCACTGCCATCTAGTTGAGTCCACTGTAGCCACCGTACAGGACAGGGTAGAACTGCCCCTGTGGGGTTCCGAGATGCTAACTCTTTGTGGGAGCAGAAAGCCTCGTCTTTCTCCCCTGCAGAGCGGCTGGTGGTTTTGAACTGCTGACCTGGTGGTTGACAGCCCAATTGAGTAACCCACTCTCCCACCAGGTGTCCTGATTGGAGCTAGGCTTGCTAACACCAAGGAGCTGGAGCCGAGTGCATTTGGGCTGAGGCTTATGGCAGAGTGGCATACCCCTCGGGCATTCATCGGCAGCCCTAAAGTGTTTGGTGACACCACGGAGACCAAGGGGCAGAGAGGCCTGCCTACAGGCCTGGCTGCGAAGAGGTTGTGTCCTGAACATTTCTGACCCTGAGCTGTGTAGCCTGTTGACTTCCCTAATACACGCCGTGATCATGGCCAGTGCAATGAATTCATGAGTCCAGCAGAAAAGCAGAGTGTGCCAGGGGAAGGAACGGTGGTCCTACGAAGGACGGAGGGTAGAGGCATGCCTGCCCCCTCCCTTACAGGAACTGGACTGATGGAGATTTTGATTCTTGACCCCGTCATGAAGTCAGAGCAGGTCAGAGGTCACCTGCCACCCCACGTAACGTTACCGGCCCTCTCACCCGCTCCCCACCAGGATGGACCCCTCTCAGGCCCTCAGGTCAGATCCATCACCGTCAGGGTCTCTTGCTGTCCTCCGCACCAGCAGCTTTTAGGAGGTTCCTGGCCTCCCCCTCTCTCGGCTTTCCGCTCAACACTCTGCTGCTTTCTGTCCAAAGATCTCTGTGGAGCTGGCTGCGCACCCCCTCTCCCACACACCCTTGACCTATCAGCCTCTCACCCCCCAGATGTACCACACACGTCATCTCTCTCTCTCTCTCTCACACACACCTTTACATACACACAGCCCCTCCTAGACATCCCCCCTCACACACACACATAGCCCCCTCCTTACATACCCTTTCCACATACTTCCTCACAATCCTTCCTTGCCAAGCCTAAGGCATTGTCCCTCCCTTGGAGGTGCGCAGACTGATGCTCTTGGTAGGTCATGGAATCATTTGCATACAGACCATACTCACCTCATTTGCATATAGACCATCGTCACCTTCTTTGCACAGGGCAGGCACTTCTTTCACCTGGGTATACGGAGCCCTGAGGGTGCACCAAGTTACAGGTTGGGTTGCCCACTGCTGTCTGCTCCCGTACAGATGTCCAGCCTCAGTCTGTCCCGTCCTGCAGGGCTGCCGTTGAGTCAGGGTCGCCCCCATGGCAGTGGGCTTGGTTTGGGGTTTCTGGAACGATTCCGTTAAGGTGTGTGCCAGTCACAGGGCAGGCCGCGGCCCTCACAGCCATCGAGTTGATGCTGACTCAGAGCGACCCCCTGTGGGCTTCTGAGATGGTAACCGTTGACGGGAGTGAGAAGCCCAGTCTTCCTCCCGAGGAGCTGCTGGTGGTTTGGAACTGCCGACTGTGGGATTGGATTTGACGCGTATCCAGACACCAGCTCAGGGCTCCTGCAGCGCAGCTCGGGCCAGACAACAAGTCAAATCGTCTACAGCTTACCCAGGAAATAACAATTAACCAGAACAGGAGTAACAATCCCTCAGGGGAGACCTTGGACAAAGGTGGCATCTCAGGGTATAGGCCGGTGGTTCTCAACCTTCCTAATGCCACAGCCCTTTCATACAGTTCCTCATGTGGTGGTGACGCCCCAACCATAAAATTATTTTTGTTGCTACTTCATCACTGTCATTTTGCTACTGTTATGAATCAGGCAACCCCTGTGAAAGGGTCATTTGATCCCCAAAGGGGTCGCGACCCTCA